GAAGCATTTCCTTGTTCAGAGCCACCTTGACCAACTGTACCTTGGATGGAGCCGGAGGGCTAAAATTCGCCACAATAAATTACAGACAACGTTGCAACGTCACATTAAAAATACCTGGTTATCAAGCTGGTAGCGGTGTGCACCAACTTACGAGGTAAGCTGCTGGATCTCGTCGCATTCACGCCCATGCTCGCCGAATCGGTGACGATATTCAATTCCGTAGAAACGATGACGGGATGATCGATAACTGTCGCCTCCACCTTTGTAATCACGCTTGATGCAGTGGTAACTACGGTAGGGGGCAGGCCATTTTCCAGTGCGGCACTCTTTGGCTCATACTGCTTCGGCTGCTCCACTTGTACCTTTTCGCTACTCTTTTCTGAACTATCGACAACAAACTGATGCGTGTTCGCCACTTCAGACTTTTCATGTAGGGCCGACTTCTAAACAAAAAACAGGGAATCCAGAAAGTTCTGATTTTGCATAATTAACGCTGACATGGAAAACCACAGACGCGTTCACTGAATCACAAAAAACAATTAAACCTTGTAAAGTATAATGCTACTGATTTTAAACCTGTTGCTAGACATCACATAGTCGATAGCTGGTTTAAGTGATCCAACCAAAAGGGAGAACAGCATTCACCAGGATCGCTTGATTCATTATCAAAACACGTAACACCATCAAGGAAACGGGAAAAGTACACACCGGAATCACGTCTTGAAAATCAATAATAGTATGTGAACTGAGTAAGGTTGGTCAAGATGCAAAAAAACGGACCGTACGCCTGAAAACTATTTATGAACAGTGGACGATGCAAGGCAGTATGGAAAGGTATATGATATGAATAACAAGAAAAGATCGGAAGTAAAATGAATAAGAGAACAAACAGGAACCTGCTGCATCGTAACCACTGCCAGAGTGATGAATTTGAAGTTGTAATGGAAAGAACACGTTGCAAGATGAAGCGACTATCGGTTTACCATAGAGGCATTACACTCGGTTCAAAGAGAGCAAACGAGCTGTAGGAAGATTTTGAGACCACAGGACAGAAGTTTACAGCAAAGTCTTGAAGATGTCTTAATTCAGCAGTGCATCGAAAAACGATGATAATGACAATGTCTATCAGAATGATCGTATGAAACTGCACATTGCGCCCATTTCTGATTTATAACAAACGAAAAACAGCATTTGTCTTAGAAAAATAGCCCTGCTAACATCCTCTTAATTTACTTATACTTCCTTTATTTTAAACATGACACAATATATGTGTAGTCATGTAACGTACATATACTTTGACATTTCACAGTGATCATTCGAAGTCAGCTAGTCAATCGCTTCTCTGAACAATGAATCG